TCTTAGTTGATACACATGTGACATGCACATGTGGGGAGCCTTATAGGTGAGCCTTATATGTCAGATGCACAGTAAACGAACAGCTAAAGACAAAATAAAAGAGAGACTGTTGAAGTAGCCAAAAGAAGGAAACAAAGGAAGAAAACATCTTGCTATTTTCATCGTTAGTTTCACAAAGTGCGCTCTTTTAGTTGATAGAATAACACGACAATGTACTTGTTGTGCAGTGAAAGGAAGCAGGTAAATTCCTTTCAAGTGTATTTTATTTCTCACTGGAGTCCTGATTGGTGGTGCAAACTGTGCAGATGTGACAGCGGCACTGTTCTATCCTGCTTATGAAGTTATGCGCTATGTCTCGGATGTTCTGCGCAGAGACATAAGGACAAACAATTTACCCTGGAGTGATGAAATGCGGCGCACGGTATGCTTGGTCTTCCCCACCTCCCAGCAATCTCCTGTTCTCCCACTCGTTTTCCTCTTATCTTTGTCCTTGGCCTTTGAGCGTCTTTTCCCGGTGTGGAGGTTGTTGCACGCCAAAGGAAACTGAGCCAGCGTGTTTTTCTTTTTTTTTTTGCCTGCCACCTCCAGCCGTTTTGGTCCGGTAGGGTGAGCCCCGAAGGATGCGCCGCGATAGAGACTGTGTCGGAAGAAAATGGCTGGGAAAGGGACTGGTTGTTAATGGTGGTTCAGCGTGAAGAAATTGAGTCTGCCTCCATTATGAAATGGCAGCCGTACTGGTGGTTACCGTGGTTTAGCGCGAAGAAATTGAGTCCGTGTTCATTATGAAATCGCAGACATAAAGGGCTGCTGCAGCCTAGCTCAGTTGGTAGAGCATGCAAGTGGCATTCAGAAGGTCGTGGGTTCGATTCTCACGTCGTTCACTGCAGCCCCCTGTGGCATGCTTCGGGTTCACCAGCTGAGATTGTTGGCTTGCCCCTCCTGCTTGTTTAGGAGGTAGCTGGGGAGTTGCCTTCTAGCTCGCACCAGGTGTTCGGGATTGGTGTTTAGGCGCGGGTGGAGCTCGGTGTCAACCCATAACTGCAACACATTCAACAATTCTGAGCTGGACTTAGATAGGAGAGTAGGTAGCGTGAGGCATATGAGAGAAGAATGTAGCTTAGTTTTAAACCACCACTACCTTTCACAGGCAAACGCAAAGTCTGTGGAGTTGCCTACTCCTAAAACGTTGGGGTTTGGGGCAGGATTAGACGCCAAAGAAAAGAAAATGAACAAAAACGAAAAAAAAAAGAAAAAAAACTAAGGCTTGGATCCCACATGGTGCTTTTAACAAAAAATCGGAAAAGCCCCTCGAAAGGAGGGTCCTTGCCTTTTGGTCCGTAAATTTTTTTTTGGACTCCACAGGCCCGTCCTTCGAGGGGCTTTCGCAAAAATCCTACCGAAATATGTTGGTCCATTTGCGTCGGACCCAATCGTGCTGCCGTAAACGAAAAAAAAAAAAAAAACTTTGTTTTTTTGGTGCTCGCGGCTTTTAGGGAACAGGGCAGGGGGCTGGCGGCTTTTAGGTATCAGGGGAAATCGAGGTCTCATCGCGGCGAGTGTCACGGTACGATTGACACGACAGGTACACCGAGTAGAAACAGGCGAAATTTGTTTCGGATCCCGAAAGCCCCGGTGCATTGTGGGATCCGAAATTTTACCCAAAATTGCCTCACTAACAATAGTGGGATCCAAGCCTAAGAGTTTCGAATCCAGGGACCTCGGGAAGGCCCTCATGAAGTGGAAGATACACCAGTGCTTTGAGGAATGTATGTGGCCACTAAGTGAGGAACGTGATTGCTGTTGGTTCTTTTTTTTTGTTTTGTTTTTGCCCTGCCAGCCAGGCAGGGTGTCTTCCACTCGTGGGGGCTAACTGTCTTACTTACCTCATACTCACACTAGCTCTGTGGCATCCTTTATCGGCCCTCAATCACAGCTTAAGGGATACTTTTTTTTTTTTTTCCTTCTTCGTCTGTCTTTTTGTATCGGACACACGCCCTCACTGAGGGCACAGTCACACTAGCATATCATAGAATGTATCTGATAGTTATCGCGGCGTTGGGGAAGTTTTTTTTGTTTTCCTTCTTTTTTTTTTTTTTTCCTTTGCTCCCCTTTTTGGATGCAACTGCCCCGGCTCGGCAAAACTTGG